GGGTGCAAGCGCTCGTGTGCCTGCACGCGGGCGCGGGGGCCCGCAGCAGCAGCCGGGTGGGTTTCCTCCACCGCCGCCGCATCGCCTGCAGCGAGGGCCTGCTGCCGTCGGCAGAGCCGCATCCTGAGCGCATCGATCTTGGCCTCGACCACGGCGATCAGGTGCTGAGGCATGGGCTCCCGTCGAATCCAGAAAGCTGCGGCCCATCTGTGAGGCCGATTGATGTACACCACCACTGCCCGCCCAGCAGTGACCCCTACGAGTTCCCAACGAGACATCCGCGCATCGGGCGTTTTCCCGACCTGGGTGGCGATGGTCACGCACTGTGATCGGACCATCGCACTTCCAGCACGATCCGTGCTGGGAGCACTACAGACGCTCGTTCCTGCCATGCTGCGTCGAAAACGCGCCACCCTTCATTGCACCGACCTTGCAGACGTGCTGCGGCGGATTTTTTGCGTGGATTTCTGCCAACGCAAAATCCCGAAAATGGCGAGCGAACGACGAAGGGAATTTCACGTGGATTTCTTTGTAGCCTCCATCCCTGACCAAGAGACGCCCGCGCGAAATCCACTCCGAAATTCTCCAGGACAAGCCAGGCCCATCCGATGGTTTTTCGAACGGAAGCCTCCCTGCAATGCTGGCACAATGACACCCTTGAAGGGCGGCCTCGTCCGCCCTGCGAGCTGCAGCCCAAGCTGCAGGGCACCTTGCTCGGCAGGTCTCCCACGGCGGAGCTCTTCGGCGGTGCCTTCAGCAGATGCACATGCAACTCGTCCAGGTCGCCCAAACCGAGCTCTTCGGCGGCGCCTTCTAGGATGCACATGCAACTCGTCCAGGTCGCCCACAGCGAAGCTCTTCGGCGGCGCCTTCCAGGATGCAATGCAACTCGTCCAGGCCGCCCACAGCGAAGCTCTTCGGCGGCGCCTTCCAGGATGCAATGCAACTCGTCCAGGCCGCCCTTGACAAGGCTGGATGCTCATTCTGGGGACCTGTTTGGAGCCAATCGCTCCGCTCGTGCGTCGAAGCTGCGTCGAACGTCCGTCGACTCGAGTCGAACCTGAGTCGAGCCTGAGTCGAACATGAGTCGAACTCGAGTCGAGCCTGAGTCGAACTTGAGTCGAACTTGAGTCGAACTGGAGTCGACATGGAGTCGAACTAGAGTCGAGCAGATCCAGTAGGTGTGCCCCTGGACGGAACCCAAAACGAACATCGAATGAAGGCATGTTGCGACGAAAACCTTGGAACTGCACAGTTTCCCCCGGGGCCGTAGGCGACCAGAGGCAGAGAAGGAGGAGGAGGAGGAGGAGGAGGAGGAGGAGGAGGAGGAGGAGGAGGAGGGAGGAGGAGGAGGAGGAGGAGGAGGAGAGGAGGAGGAGGAGGAGGAGGAGGAGGAGGCGGAGGAGGAGGAGGAGGAGGAGGAGGAGGCGGAGGAGGGAGGTTGAGGAGGGGGAGGGGGAGGAGGAGGAGGAGGAGGAGGAGGAGGAGGAGGAGGAGGAGAGGAGGAGGAGGAGGAGGAGGAGGAGGAGGAGGAGGAGAAGGAGGAGGAGGAGGAGGAGGAGGAGAGGAGGAGGAGGAGGAGGAGGGGGAGGAGGAGGAGGAGGAGGAGGAGGAGGAGGAGGAGGAGGAGGAGGAGGAGGAGGAGGAGGAAGGAGGAGGAGGAGAGGGAGGAGGAGGAGGAGGAGGAGGAGGAGGAGGAGGGAGGAGGAGGAGGAGGAGGAGGAGAGGAGGAGAAGGAGGAGAAGAAGGAGGAGGAGGACGGGTCGCCTAAGCCCTTCGGAGAATCCCTCCGAGCACGGCTGCCCAGACCGTCCCTGCCTCGACCGCGGCCGTGCGCTGCTTGGCACCTCGCGGCGGCGGCCTGCCATGCATCAATCCCCGAGGGCCCCGGCCCGGGCCAGCGAGCACGCGCGAGGCCGAGCAGGAGAAGAAGCAGCAGGAGGCGCAGAGGAAGGGATGGGGGGAAGGCTAGGTCGGGCGTGCCCCCCTACGCGCGGACTTTGGACGAACAAAAACATAACCCAACAACAATGCTCAAACTGATACTCAGAAATACTACAAGAAAATCGTCCCCCGACTATTTTTGTTTGTTTTCGAACATTCCTCCTGCAGGGGCGGGCCAATCGGGGGGGGGGGAACGGGACGGGAGCCCCGGAGGCTCGCCGTCGCTCGGACGTCCACCTTCCCCGTTAATCCGTCGGTCTCGCACGGTGCACTTTGGCGCAAAGGGTGGCCCACAATGCTCCTCTGGGTGGCCCTCGCCGAAGCAGCAATGCACGCGGCCGAACGATGCCAGGGAGGGAGGGAGACCCCAAGGCCGCGCCGACGGCGATGCTGCTTAACGGCGATGTTGGGAATCTCATGTTTGTGACGCCGAGCTCGCGCAGAACAAATGGTAGGATAGCACGAGCCACACTTCCCTACAGGTCAAATGTGCGAGTGTATCGAACGAAAACGACACAGCGAATTGTAGGAAAGCGCGAACCACGATATCCTAAAACTGGCTTGGCCACGAACCAGTCCCACCTGTCATGCCGAAACCTACGTCGCCGTCACCTGCTTTGCCATCAGCGCGCCTGCGGAGACCCCCCCTCGGCCAGGGAGGACCCGCGCCCACACTTTCAGGAACACCTCCGTGTTCAGGGCGGTCCCGAACTCTCCTGCGCGGGACGGGCCGTGTGGGCGGCACAGAAGCGAAGCCTCGGCGAAGGGGGGGGGAGCAACGGAGAGGAGGAGGAGGAGGAGGAGGAGGAGGAGGAGGAGGAGGAGGAGGAGGAGGAGGAGGAGGAGGACGAGGAGGAGGAGGCGTCCGTGCGCCCGCTCCCTTCCTGCAGGAAGCCTCGGGGCGACGCCGCCCGCCCCCTTTGGGAGGAAGGCGCGCGAGGCCTCCAGGAGCGCCCACGGAGACTGCGTTCGAACCGCCCGGAGGCGCCAACTGTGCCTCCAGGGGGGGGGGAGGCTCCCAGAGGAGCCTCGAACGGTCCTCGGGGACGTCCAGGCAAGGAGCCTCCCGCGGCCTCCATGCTATCCAGAAGACACCCGAGTAGAGCGGTCCAGGGAGGGAGACCCCCCGAACCCTTCCTAGCGCCCCCAACAGCATCCCCCTGAGGAGAGGGTCCGGGGGGAAAACCTCCTAGCCCCCCTCCGACCTTACCCAAAAACTACCCCTGAGAGGGTTGGGGGGGAATCCCAAACCCTCCCTAATCTCTTCACTACCTTCACAACCTTCCCCTGAAGGAAGGTTCCGGGAGACCCTTCAAAGGCCCCCTCCCTGAGGGGTCCGGCGGGAAAACTCCCCGAACCCCTGCTGAGAGGGGGTAGGGGAAGTTTTCCAAGGGGGCTATGGGACCTGCAACGCCCTACTGCAATGCATCGGACGCTCTCGCCACCTACCTCTCATCTTAGCCCGTGCCATCGTCGAATCTGCTGGCCTCGTGACCATTTCTCTTGTTTCCGAGAGCGGGGAAATCATTGACACCCAACATCAGCAAAACTGACACAGACTGGAAAGATACGCGTCCAACATGCTGCGATTCGCCTGCCACCTCAACCCTCAATCCAACAACACGTGCATGCCTCGAACGACTCAATCTCATATCTGCCATGCTAATTGGAGCCCGGGCTCGCAGTTGCGACATTGCCGTGTCCGATCGGATATTTCCATAATGTTTGTCAGGGCAAGTCGCCCCCAACAAATCTAATCTCCCCCGCCATGGGAGCCGAGCCCCGTAGCCCCGTGGTGTCCTCCCATGTCGCAATCTAGCTTGGTCTTCGCGTCCACTGTCTTCAAGCCGTCTACGACCTCTATCACCTGCCAGGGCGACACTTCCCCGCGCGCCCTGCCGAATGGGGTGGGAGCCGGCTGCGCCCCCTGAGCGCGCATGCGTACAGCCACTGCGCGTGAGCTGCTGGGATGGGGCGCCGGTCAGCCGATCCGCCACCAAGCGGAAACGAAATAGGGGATGGATTGCTGCCAGCTGTGGGTGTGGAGGCGTTTCTCCGCGCCGTCTTTCGTGCACCTTCCAGCATAAAAGCACGTCTCCGCGCAAGGGAGCCGTGGGCCACGTGCGTGCGTGCACCACGCGTGCATGGCAGCAAACGCGCGCCCCAGAAAATGAATGTAATGATGTCCTCATCACTCGTTCGTGTGTGTGTGTGTGCGCTCGATGCAACAAACCCGTCAAGCTCTTTAAGCCCGAGGTGAAGAAGGGAAGTTGAAATGCAGGCGTTCGCACACACATAGGACTATTATCCCATGTGATGCGCTCTTGCTCGGCAAACCCGCCGAAAACGCAGAAGACACTTTTTGGCGTCGCGGCGGATCGGGGGCGGCCAGGAGGGGGGCGTCCAAGATGGGGGGGCGCAAATCATGGCCAGCGGCATGTGCGCGGCCCAAAGGGGGGGCCAGGGACGTACCGAAATAAGAAAAGGCGCCATGAAATCTAAGGAAATATCATGACCAACGTCATGATATCCCCCCCCCTAATCATCTCGGGGGCGCGCAAACACGGATTAGCGATCCATGGATTTGGCGCGCGGTCGCCACATCCATGGATCGGGGGAGGTCCCCCCCCAGCAAACGGCCGGTGCCGCCTGGTTCGGCGGCGGGAATCCGCGATTTCTCATGGAAACAGGACCCGTCTAATCTTAAGTCGGGCCTGTCCCCCTACAGGGGGAAAATTCAAAAACAGTCCAAAAATAATCTGGGAACGGTTTTTCCTGTGTTCCATTTGGGGGGCATTTGTTGCGTATTCTTAATTTGTCGCCCAGAATCCGCCTGTAGGGGGACACGCCCGACTTGAGCCTAATCCACGCCCCCTTGATCCGTGCTCTTGCGATCGCCCGGTCATCACCCCCCTCTCGGCGGCCCCCGAGCGGAGGCAGTCGGAGAAGCCCCCGGGAGAGGCGCCGGAGCACCGGGCTTCACACAGCAGAGGCTCGACCACCAGAGGCCCTCCACGAGAAGCCCAGCCCTGAGACCCCAGGGCGTCCGTCGATCTGCGGCGTGGGAGCGGCGCGCCTTCCACGGGCAAAACAGTCGAGACCCAGGAAGCCCAGGGCACCCCGGAGGCCAGCAGGGTGTTTCTTGGCACGGGTCGCCACTGCAGGGAGCGACGCGGTGCTGGCGTCTCTCTCTCGGGGGGGGGGGGCAGCAAAGAGAGCAGGCGAGCGAAGAAGCCGCCAACATGAGAAGAAGGAGAGAGGAGGCGAGCGGCGAAGCCGCCAACAAGAGAGCGGGGGGGGGGGCGAGGAGCAAAGAGAGGATGCGAGACGAGATGATGATGCTGCTGATGATGACGATGCTGCTGCTGCTGCTGCTGATGATGATGATGATGATGATGACGATGATTACGATGATGATGCTGATGATGATGCTGATGATGATGATGCTGATGCTGATGCTGCTGCTGCTGCTGCTGCTGATGATGATGATGATGATGATGATGATGATGATGATGATGATGTTGATGTTGGGAGGGCAGCGCGGGGGCGCACTAGGGCGCACCGACTCGGGCAGTGACGAGCCACAAGGGGCCGACAGGAGCGGCGCAGCAAGCAAAACGGATCTGCATGGAGGATCGCGAAGCCCAGTGGTTGAGTGGGGACCGACCGTCCCAGCATTCCTGTAGGCCCACCACGAGATGTTCTTAGAGCCCCCCAAATGCTCTAAGAACAAGAACCGTGCTCTTAGAACAGAACCCTGACGCGCTAAAACGAGACGGTCCCAGCCAGCAGCGTTCTGAGAACATTTCGTGCAGACCACGAAGGGTTCTCAGAACCTTCTTCAGTGGGCCCATCGGCGAGGAGGAGGAGGAGGAGGAGGAGGAGGAGGAGGAAGAGGAGGAGGAGGAGGAGAAGGAGGAGGAGGAGGGGGAGGAGAAGGAGGAGGAGGAGGAGGAGGAGGAGGAGGAGGAGGAGGAGGAGGAGGGGGAGGAGGAGGAGGCGGAGGAGGAGGAGGAGGAGGAGGGGGAGGAGAAGGGGAGGACGCTTCGCAACTGCTCGAAAGGGGAGGGGCGAGGAGGGAGGCGGGCAGACCCGAGCGCGAGGGCTCGGGGCGGCAGGCGCGGGCGGGGGGCAACCGGCAGCGGCGGCCGGCGGGCCAGGAAGGGAGGCGGGGCGCGCGGGCCTGGCAAAGGAGCGTGCGACGGCATGCAATGCAAGAGCATGGGTCGAGTTAGGTCGGGCGTGCCCCCCTGCAGGCGGACTTTGGAAGACATTTTTAAACTTGTGAAAAAAAAACCCTCACAAATATTACAACAAAACGGGATGGGCCGGGCGAGTTGGGTCGGGCGGGTCCCCCTGCAGGCGGATGCTGGAAGACATGTTAAATATAGTCAACAAGCACCCAGAAATAAAACAAAAACGAGACATCGCACACGGACTATTGTTTAAAACTACCTTTGGATATTCCTCCTGTGGAGGGACGTGCCCGACTAAAGGTCAGAGGTGGGAAGCGGTAGGAAGGGGCGTGGTGTCGATTCTGACGACGGCGATGGTGCCTACGATAGCCGCACTTGCGGCGCATCCCAATTTCAACACCGTTCGTCCGCTTCTGACCGCGTCAGGCAGCTTAGAGCCCTTGCCACTCGTGGCGTGAAACCAGGACTGGCAAGGGACGAGCCGATGTCGGCCAGACAGGCAGCGAAAAGCAGCGGCAGCAGACACGACAAAGGTCGCGGGGTGGCATGGCAGGCGTGGGGGGAAAGCACCGCGCCGACGCCAGCGCCAACGAGAACCGAGCCCACATAGACACAGGGACATGAAGACACATGCACACACGCGCGGACGCACACACACATACACTGACGCAAACACAGAAAACAACGCACACACTGACACACCCACACACACCCACACCCACACCCACACCCACATCCACAACCACACACAACACACACACACCAACGCACACATGCACGCACGCACGCACGAACGCCAGCCCGCCCGCCCGCCCGCCCGCACGCACGCACACACAAATACACACACACACGCACGCACGGACGCACGCACGCACGCACGCGCGCGCGCACGCACGCAAGCAAGCACGCACGCATGCACGCACGCACGCACGTACGCACGCACGCACGCACGCACGCACGAACTCTCTCTCTCTCTCTCTTACACACGCACGCACGCACCGTTTCCCCTCCCCCCCACACACAAACACACACACACACCACCCACACCACACACACCACACACACAACACACACACACACGCACACACAAACACACACACACACGCACACGCACAAGCACACGCACACACGCACACGCACACGCACACGCACACACGCACACACACACACACACACGCACCCACACACACACGCACACGCACACGCACAGACACAGATGCATCTTTAAAATGTAAGCGCACGTTCACGCTCACGCACACGCGCACGCACACGCACCACGCACGCACGCCCCCCCCCCCTTTCCCCCCCACGCACCACACACACACACACACGCACCCCACACACGCACACGCACACTCACACGCACACAGCACACACACACACCCGCACCACACACAAACACCCGCACACACACACGCACACGCACACGCACACGCACCGCCACGCACACGCGCACACACGCGCACACACGCACAACCGCACACACGCAGACACGCAGACACGCACACACGCACACACGCCCGCCCGCACGCACGCACACACGCACGCACGACAGCACGCACACACGTACACGCACACACACGCACACGCGCACACACGCACACGCGCACTCACGCACACACGCACACACGCACACACGCACACACGCACACACGCACACGCGCACACGCGCACGCACGCACGCACGCGCGCGCACACGCACGCACGCACCCACGCACGCACCCACGCACGCTCTAACGCACCCACGCACGCACGCACGCGCGCACGCACGCGGGCACGCACGCGCATACACGCGCACGTACGCGCACGCACGCGCACGCGCGCGCACGCGCGCGCACGCGCACGCACGCGCAAGCACGCACACGCACGCACGCGCACGCACGCGCACGCACGCGCACGCACGCGCACGCACGCGCACGCACGAACACGCACGCACGCGCACGCACGCGCACGCGCACGCACGCGCATGCTCGCGCACGCGCACGCACGCGCACGCACGCGCACGCATGCGCACGCACGCGCACGCACGCGCACGCACGCGCACACACGCGCACGCATGCGCGCGCACGCGCGCGCACGCATGCGCATGCACCCACAAGAACGCGCACACAACCGCGCACACACCCGCGCACACACCCGCGCACACACCCGCGCACACACCCGCGCACAACCGCGCACACACCCGCGCACACAACCGCGCAC